GGGTGACCAACCCAGAACTCCCCACGCTCTGAGACGCTACCGATGATTGTTCGCGACTGCTTATTCATCTCGCATGCAAGGCAAAGGAGACTTATTCTCAGTTACCTCCGCAAGCAGGGCCTTCCCCGATCCACAACCTGAGAAGGCGCTCGGTAACCTACAGCTCCGCCACGGGTGGGTTGTCGAGACTTGCAGACTGGAGTCGGTCTATATTGATCGTCTCCGTTTTACCATTGTAGTCAATGGTAAATGTCTTCGGTTCTGCGTACGGCACGATACAGGCCAGAATAAGGAGGATGAAGTATCCGGCGTAGATTATCAGTGCGAACAAAGACATGAGCGCGACTAGCGGGGTGTCGTCCACCTTGGTACGCAAGCTCTGTGCTCTGGGTTACATAGGCTAGAGCTGATCCATTAGATGAGATAGACGAAAGTTGTTTGGGCTTTTGGTTAGACAAGTTCATTAGCCCCGTAACCTTATGGATCACAAGCCTGCCTTGTAGTCTGAGAGCGCAAGTTCGAGCTTGCGTAGGATCCGCATGACCCTCGCAATATCCTTAACCCATGTGCGACCGGTGGTGGTTTGCGAGGCAGCGAAGCGACGGTACTGTGCACCGACGTACTGCTGATCTCTTCCTTCCTCTTTTCCCAAGCAAGCGTTGTGTTCAGCCAAAGACTAGCGAAAAACGAGTGGCTTGCGAATCCGCTTTACTCGTTTTCCTCATGCCTAAGAGAATGAGAGAAAATGCTAGCTTGGGCATAGGGCGATGCTTTGTTGCCGGTGGAATGTTTCTACCATCCCATTAGCTGTGGGGTGGTATGCAGTGATTCGGTTGTGCTGGCAACTAACTATGTTGAGGAGTTTGTTGAAGGATCCGTCAAACTGTGATACTCTGTCGGTGAGGACTACGCTTGGGCAACCAAATTGAGCTACCCAGCGTTCTAGGAAAGCGTGTGCTGATATCCCAAATGAGTAGTCGGCTATCGGAATCGCTTCTGTCCAACCTGTAAACCAGTCCACACAAGTGAGAAGGTACACCTAGCCTTTGCATGGAGGCAAAGGTCCGGCCAGGTCGAAGTAGACGTGTGCGAAACGAGTCAGAAGCTGGAAAGATGCCTACTGAGCTTCTGGTTTGTCTGTACATCTTGGTGCGGTGACACTCTAAGCACGCATGAGCCCAAAGACGGACATCGCGATTGACCTTGGGCCATACGAAACGTTTGGATACGAGCTTCTGCGAGGCACGTATGCTGGGATGCAGCAGATTGTGAATTGCACTAAAAACCAGTCGGCGCCTTGTCGTAAGATCTACGGGGCGGGGAGCGGTTCGTGAGACTTCACAAAGAATGGTCCCCACAGATGCAGTTACTGGAACTTCGCATGGTTTCAAAGCAATGTTGCATCGCAGCATGTCTGTATCTGGATCGGTTTATTGGGCAGTAGCCATGGCGGCTAGATAGATGTTGATTCCCGGCTGTAAGCTGATCTGGTGGATCCGTGAAAAGCGCCTGCAACGGGATTATGCACCTGGGACATATATATCTGTCATAAACTGGGTGACATAATTTAGGTGTGTAGTTTCGCGCGGTGAATACTTATCTATTGCGCTATTGAATACGTATGTCAATAGCTTGTGTTCAGTGAAAACCGTAAAGTGTCAACCTTCGAAGTAGTGACGAAAATGTCGGATAGCTAGATAGATTGCGAATGTCTACCTATCGAAGTTGTTATAACTCGATTTGGCAGGTTGCAAACGTTTCGAAATGAAACTTACTAGTGTCCATCGATGGTCCATGAGCTGTTGCAGAACTGTACCAGCGGCGGAGTCTGATGCGTCTGTTGTCAAAGTGTTGCAATCGGGTCAGAGTGGTCGAGTAGCGCTATGTTGTTCTTGGTTGCTGTCGGTTCCAAGACTTACAAACTAACTAGTCAAAAATATCTCACCATTTTGTAATTTCTGTCCATTAACAACAGTTGTGGTGAATTCCGACAGAATTTTGTTATCCTTCCTTAGCGTCAACCTCAACCGCGATTACAACAGTCCTGTATGGATGTATCCACTCAAGGGAATGACAGTTTAAACCAGATTCGCAAGCCCTGAATTATTGTCTGTTGCCATGAATGTACACTTCGTAGAGCAGCTTCATATCAGCAGGCCTAATGTATGTGTGAAATAACTAAGTGTAGGATCTGTGGCGCATTGATCAGCACGCGCAGATTCCGTGTGACCGCGCATGTAACACAACATAGCCCATGGAAGCTTATTGTAGTGGGCTTATACACTTCTGATAACCTTTAAACGTTTTTCTGGGAGTCGTTTGTCCCCAAATTAGACGCAAGATCTAGAGGTTGCAGGAGTAGTTTTTTTGTCCGGGAGTAGAGCAAAGTACGTAAAACTAATTCAAAATGGAATGCGGTATTCTGTTCTGTTGAAATACAGCATTACTCATGAGTAGGTGGATTTTAGTTGTACTTTCAATGTATTTTTCATTTGTCCCAACAGCTCATAAGCCACATATCACAGCACAATCCTAAATGCACCGGACGCATTTCGCTCTTTTGGGGCTTGTCAGTGTTGCGCATTCCCTACTGGGGACCGAGGGAATGCGCACCATTGACGAGCCCCAATAGAGGGAAACACGTCTGGTGCTTTTCCGGATTGGGTTTCTGCCATGTAGCTTGTGAGCTGATGAAACGAATATATTGAAACCGAATTCCAGTTGCTTGGTACGAAATTGACCGAGTCAGATCCATACACCGGAGCCTCGTTGTAGAACTCTTGCTCTCATCAATTGCTTTTGCAACCCAACTATCGCATTACATAATTAGGATTTGCTCAACTTTTTGCCTTGAGCATATCAGCACCGCTTTCCAAGGAAGTAGCCGATGATGTTCGGCTGATGTGAGCCCTGTCCTCGAACCTTCACGTTGCCCATGGTCGTTTTAGACGCGCAAACACAACACCCCAGCACCTAACAAATTTTGAGATCATTAATGCCAGTAAGGACCTAAGTGTGCACTGGTATCAACTCCATTACTAGCGACCTGATGGGAATCCCATTATAACTGAGTGAGAAGGAGATAATCAGTTTTCCTATACCCACAAATCCTTCAACGTTTCCAGCATCGTATTGCCAAGGCTTCACTGTGGTAGTGCTGTAGGCTCAGCCTCATAAACTTCTCTCTAATCTTATTATGTACGATTTGGAACGATAAAAACTAAAGCTAAGGGAAGTGTGGTTACGTTGTTAGTTGACTGTCATTGCATTCGACTGATTAGAATACTGCGTCTTACATCTCCAATCTCAAGTTTCCTGTATCTATGGTATTGTAATTTGGCGAACTAATAACCTGTGGTCATGGATACCGTACGATGCGCTTTTTTAGTATTAAATAAGTCGCGGTTTACGCAGCACAGCCGCGCATTCCGACAGTGTGCACTGAATATTTAGTATGGATTATGAAACGTGGGACCTGGTTACGTCGGTGCCTAGCTTCTTCCTAGATGGTAGCAGGGATATCAGACCTTGTCGCACTCAGCTCAAATACCGAAGTTGTGGATTCGATGGCGATCTTCATTCGGTTTCCTGCTCCTGCTTGTCCTCACATCTGACTATCTTAGCTTTATTAACTCCACTTTATTAGTTCTCTTTCCCTCTTTCTAACTTTGCCCCTGTTTTTACCATGGTGATGTGAGTCGACCAGATCTCACGGAAGTTGATAATCAGACCATGGATGTTAAACCGAAATGTGCTGGTCAATATTTTTACTACTTGCTTTCCACCGATGTGTGTACACGGAGCAAGCTGATCTGGGTTGTACTAAAAGTCTGACCAGATATCCATTAATAGACCGTTCTCGTGAATAACTGCTTGTGCCGCCGAGCCAGTCAAGCCATCACTCAGCCTGCCAGCGGATCCATTGTATTTGTGTTCATGGGGCAGAACACTTGCGACGAATTCTTTCCTGACTGTTCATTATACTTAACCTTGCAATGCCTGTCAGTGGAACCAGCCCTCTTCCCAAGTTTAGCAGTTAAATCCTATGTTTCTCGTATTGGCTACTGGTGAGAGCATGTTTTGTTCTATAAATGCAGAACCACTTGTTGCCGCTACTTCACTAGATGAGTGCGGCATTCGAGATTAAGTGATGCCTCCAATAGGAGTATGAGAGCTATTGGTGAAAGGGACCAGTGAAGTAACGCCCACACAGTTATCCTGAAGAGTTAGGCTTGATGATGCGTATCCCTAATGCTGGTGCATTGCTCATGGGAACCGCTAGTCTAGCTGGGGAATGACTCAAAATCAGGTGAATTCCAAATTCACGAGGATGTTGAATTACTGAGGATTTACGAGTAACTGTCGTTCAGAATTCATTGATCAATTACACACACGAGTTCGGTCCTCGCTCAGCCCAAGCGTTCATTTGTTACAGCGAGGCACGAACTGACTAATCTTAATATTTTTCATAATAAGTTTCTATGCTTTTCCTTTTGATTGATGTTAACTCACGATTTGAACACCACAATATGTCTTTTTCATGTTTAAGATGTACCAAACCCTCCTATTTCGCACCGGTTCAACTGTTTCTGAAGTTGATGCCGCCTACTCGCTAGTCGGAGCACCTGTTCCTGAAGATCTTGTATTTATTTCCTTAATGCGTTCCTAAAACCACATCTTGTTAGTATAAATTGATCTGCTCTGTACTAAGTTTTCACTGCGTCAAATTGGGGATACGAATAATTCTCCTCACTTTCCACTGTAACAATCGATCTGTGGCTTCCGTGCTTGAATTCTCTCGAAGCAAAGCCGCACTGATGCTTCTTCACAAAATTCCGATGTTTCACGCTTCACTTACGCTACCTTGGTTGTATTGGATCGCCTCGGTTTGCTATCCACGTGTCGATCTATCCGTTGAAGTATGGAATCCTGCACTTTATAATGTAAATAATGTTCTCTACCCATAACCTAAAACATATTTCATGTCTGCTTTCCTAAAGGTTGAAAAAATATTCCGAAAATCAGTAGAATTTTGCAACGACCATCGGGTGTGGAAACTGAATGTAGCCCATGTGTTGTTCATGCAAGAAAACAAATACAAGGAAGCAAGCGGATTTTATGAGCCTATTGTTAAAAAGCACTTTGACAACATTCTCGGAGTGAGCGCTGTGATTTTAGCCAACTTGTGTGTCACTTATATCATGACCAGTCAAAATGAAGATGCTGAGGAATTGATGCGAAAGATCGAGAAAGAGGAGGAGGCGGTCACATATGAGGATCCGGATCGCAAGGTGTTCCACTTATGCATCGTCAATTTGGTAATCGGCACGTTGTACTGCGCGAAAGGAAACTACGAGTTTGGAATTAGTCGAGTTATAAAAAGCCTGGAACCATACCAGAAGAAACTGGGACCTGACACCTGGTGAGTCAAATATCCTACCTGTCAGGGATAAGTTGTCACCTAGTGCCAACCCTCATTTTCTTGCAAAGTCGAGGAAAGGCTCCGAGGTTTTATTTTACCCTAGAACTAACTGTGCTCTGGTGCTTGAAGTCGTTTACTGGATTTTACAAAAACCATGCTCCAAGCTCATCACGATATATATATGCGAGGCTCGCTCTGTTCTTCCTTCAATTGTTCGTTTCTATGAAGAAAGTGCTCCACATGATTCCACTATGCTTAATCTATCCCGCATGGAAACCCTACCCGATTACCAACTGGGTTTTTTAGTTGAATGCTGGTTAGTGGTTTGGTGAATGTTCTCCACTCCTTCGAGCCGCAAAGTGTTTTTGTGTGAACCCGATCCTTTAGTACCAGCTCTCAAGAGCTACTATTAATCGTTAAAGCGCTCCATCTTTTTATTTACCTAGGTATTTGTATTGGTTCCACTGGTCGAATTACGAAAACTGATATCACTGTGATCCCAAACAGCTGCTCTGATTTTCAAGCTTGGCTCGCTAGGAGGCACTGAATTGTTGGCCCAAGTTATATCTTGCGACTTCGCAGCGTTGCGATAGGGGCGTAAATTGAATAGTTATCCTAGCAAGACGTTAGCCTATCAGAGACACCACTGGCTGAGCCCTGTTGAAGACGCTGTCTGTGCACTGAATCATTCGGATTAGTTCCACTGCGATGAGATTAAGTCATAACGTGTTAAGATAACTAACCTTCCTTTACGACTCACTGAGTTATGTTGGACGGTGGGTTTCGCACCTTCAATACTACTCATAGCAGATTGATCAATGGTTGGATTCAAGACAGGCTCGATTTCCTGGTCCTCTAGGTTAGCGCTTGAAATGAGGATGGCCTCTTACCTTTTTAAACCTAGCCCATGCAGTCCATTACCAAACTCCCGCTGTTTTTCGGTGAGATTTTGAACCAAAGGCTTTCCTTGAGGACTTTAATCGTCCCTCTGTCTAGATTTGGCAACTTAACAGTATCCCGCTCACACATTGCAGTGAACTTTTCCTCAAATAATCTATCTATGCTCTGATCGTCACAGAGTATAATCAATGACTCCCTACCCGCTGCATCGAGCCGGCTGGATAGGGGCAAAATTGCCGCTGTTCAGGCCTTCCCGTCTTCTTATTCCTCCTCTCATGCTTGTCCCACCCTTATCATCCCGTTCCAACTCCAACTTCATATGACACTGCGCCTATCCGGAGCTGATGTTGCTTCGAATGCTGGTGAACCCGGTATGCGCGTTGCTTTGAGCTCTTGGGCTGAAACTGCTTTAGTATACTGAATCCAATCAGTAGCCGGAGGTGTGCCGTCCGACTAGCTAGCTCATTCAAAGGTTCGAATTCATGCGAAAAGGTGCTTCTTTGTGACTGCCGCCTTCGCCCCCACAAACCGTAGTGCTGACTCGGCAAAATGAACGAGCTCCTTCACAAAAGAAGTGCGAATACAGTGCTACTAACTGATGATTTAGGCCTTTAATTTGGCGAATTCTCAAATGACGAGCTGCTTCTAGGCAGCCAGTATGCAGTAGGCTCCATATCGCCAACGATGAGCGGTTGTTACACCTCTGTGTATTTGTCTATTTCTCCCGAGCACTAACTTTTGACACAGCACCCTTCATAGGATGACCTGGCACTCACTAGCCTAGGACCACTCGGGGACGCAAACTGATCACATCGCGATCACTTACCGTTTGAGAGACTCCATCCAAAACTGTCGCTCGATGTGAAGGTCAACCACGCACTAGTATACAACAATCGCTTGGCTCGCTTCGGGGGACGCTTACGATGACGCTGTCAGGGCACGGACATGAAATGAGATGTCCTAAATGCATATAAAACTATGATGCCGTGCGGGTTACGTAAGCGCTCACTGAACACAGTCGAAGACAAATGATTTTACATCCCCTAGGGGTTATTATCAACAGCCATCTCTTCATGTGGCAATTCAACTTGCCAACCTGGATATTGGGTCCCTATGCAGTCTCTGGAATTTTTGGATGCTCGCCGATACATGCCGGCTGGGAGCGAACACAACGAGACTCGCAAACACCTCGACGCAAAACTGCGTGCTGGCCTGAAGAGAGACCGCGAAGTGTGCTGGTCTCATCATGCATCGGTGATCGAAATAACCGCTGCCCTTGGTAACCAACGGAAGTTATTATGTCTGATACGCGAAACGGACATCAGGAGACCTGATGTTAACGAGACCATACATTATCAGCGTTGCAAGAATAAGCTGACATATATTTTATTCAAACAACTTCCAAGGTCACTGAGACCAATCTACTCTATCCACATTTTGAATATAAACGCTGAGCTATCGCGCACGATCCCCGTTCTATTGCATTTGGACACGAAAATTTACGTCAAATGAAACGAATTATGTAGCAACGTTTTACTGAAACCTTTTCCGTTCTGAATGGATGCAAATCCCGAAGGTATAGTTCAGTGTTACGGCATTATTGCGTGATCGAGTTATAATGGTGCACCATTCTCATTTTTCTACCCATTTGTAAAGTTAACATTTTTGATGCTGCCCGTTTGGTTCATTTACAGTTGGTGATGTAAAATGCTGAAACTGTACCCAGTTGGGTACATAAAGCTTACACTGATTGACTGACCAGAATGGACGGCCGATCCATAATTTGTCAAAACGCTTGGTACGTTGGGTCGAAGACTTTGAAAAGCAGCTTAACCAGCTATAGTTATCAGCTTCTCCGTTGGCCATTGATTGCCCTTCTCCCTTGGCTGTCTCCCTGGATCTGCCTTCACGCGCAGAAGTCGAACGCGAGATCAGACCGTCGAAAATCACTAAGGCCGCAGGAGGATATAGAACCCATCTAGGTCTATTCAAATTCAGTGGACCTGTTCATATAGTTAATTTACACAAGTAACTTGTGAAAGTATAGCAGCAGGAAAATATCCCAATATACTGGAGCCATTCTGTTATAGTCCCAGTTTTCAAGTGGACTGACGTTCGTAATGCGGAAATCATACAGGGATCAGTCTGGTCTCAATTGCCGCTAAGATACTCGCCTTTGCCGTTCTTCATAAACTTGTTGGCACCAGTGAAAGCCGGATTCGCGTGGAGCAAAACGGGTTTCACTGATGTCACCGCGGTATTGCTAATATCTTCACATTACGTCAATTGTTGGAATACCGCAATATTTATCTGTGAGCCACTGTAGTACTGTTCCTCGACATCAAAGGTGTCTTCCATTCGGTTGATCGATGTGTCCTTTTGGATTGAGTACTTAGGGAAGTTGTGTTCAAAAATTACGCAAACATTATCAGAGCGCTTTACTCGCGTAGTTCGGGTAAAGTGACTGCTTACGGTAAAATATTGCCCCCTTCAATATCTCCAGCGGTGTGAGACAAGAATGTTTGCTGCCACCTTTCCTTTTTCACTTCTCCATTGACGAAGTCATGGAGACTGCGTTCACTGGGCTTGACCTGCAAAGCGTGCGGCTGCTCTCAGGTGATCGACTTCGTGTCTTGGCATACGCCGACGAGGTTGCCCTTGTCTGTGCTTGCTTACAAACGTGCCAAGTAGCACTTGGCAAATTAGCATTGGCTGTCAGCCTTTTCTGGCTATGCTTTGCACCCACGAAGTGCAAAATCCTTCCCCAAGATTGGTGGGGACCTACACCTGCGCTGAACCTTGGTGGTGATCATCTAGAATTCGCCGAGAAATTCAAGTATCTAGACAGCTATATTAGCGTCAGTGGATTAGGACATGGGCTTACAACCCGCATAGCGAAAGCTCTAGGCGCTTTTGCTAATCTCCACTACCTGTAGCGCCGCCACGACCTCACTCTCTCCCTGAAGGACAGCTTCTACGATGCAGCTGCCCGTTCAATCCTTCGTTACGGTTGCGAAACCTACCCCATCAATTTGACAGACATACAGAGGCTAGTTACGTTCCATCATCGCTGCCTTCGCAGCTTAGCTCATGTCTGGTTGAAACACCGCGTGAGCAGTGTGTGTGTTCGGCGTCGTGTATTTGGTGCGTGAAGAGCGCCTTATATCACCTACCAGACTCCGATGGCTGGGCCATGTGTTGCGCATGCCAGCACACCGAATCCCGCGACGTGCGTTGTTTGGGCGCCGGAGTACGGTTGGAAGAGGAGGAGAGACCAAGCGATGACTTGGTCCACAGTTATGAATGCCCTCACTTCGGAGGCTACATGCAGAACTGTCGCTCGATATGGAGCACGTATGTGGACACCGACCATGCACTTGTATGTGCTGACCTGCGGACGCGTTTTGGCGGACGCCCACAACGACGCTGTGAGCGCATTGACACTAGCCAACTGGCAAAGCCAGCTGTTCTGAATGCCTATGCGAGTTGAGTAAGCGCTCACTACAGACAATTGAAGGTCACTGGTCGCATCTTCAGCTGAACTTCCCAGCAGCAGGCAAATCCTCATGTGATAAGTCTAATAGCCAACATGGTCACTGGGTGTTATCGCGGTCTCTGGAACTTATCGATGCTCACCGGCATATTCCGGCTGCATGCGAACACAATGAAACTCACAAAGAGCTAAGGGCAAAACTCCTTGCTAGCCTGAAGAAAGACAACGAATCTTGGTAGTCTCACCGTGCGTCAGAGATGGGCAGTAGGAGACCTGGTGTTAGTGAAACAATTTGTGACTAGAGTGGACAGCCTATCCACAACTTATCAAAACGCCTGGAATGTTGGGCTAAGCACTTTGAAAAGCAATTTAATCGGCCGGAATTGTTGGATTCCTCGCCGGCCCGTGATCCCCCTGCTGCGTGAGCTGTCCCTTTGGATCCGCCCTCTCGCTCAGAAATCAAACGTGAGATCGGACTGTTGAAGTTGACCAAAGCCGCGGGACCAGATGATTTTTCCCCAGCCCTCTTCAAATTCGGGGGACCCGCTCTTGTAGACAATGTACACGAGTTACTAGTGAAACAGTGGGAGCAGGAAACTGTCCCAAC